GGGTCCTGGGATCGAGTCCCGCATCGGGCTCCCTGCTCCTTGGGAGCCTGCTTCTCGCTCTGCCTCTCTCTCTCTCTCATGAATAAATAAATAAAGTCTTTAAAAAAAAAAAGAAGTCATGGAATACTAAGACTTTGCACAACAAATTTAAATATGACAGCACAAAAACTCCTAGAACACCACATGGACTCTGTCCTCAAGTGCTTTCTCTTCCCTGCGCTTGTGCAAAGGTCATGTCGTCTGGATTGTGTTGGGGGTGGAGGGGATCTGATAAGTTTTATCCCCTGTTCTGATTCAGGCTGGCATGACCTTGGTCTGGGTGTTTACTTGTCCTTACTTCCACAGTTAAAATGGAGATAATGAGCCTGGCCTTTTTGATGAGGGTCTCCTGGGAAATAAAAAAAATTGTTTTAAGTGCTTTAGAGTTATAAGGTGCTAGATTCCTTCTGAAGAGTTACAGGAAGGGTTGAAGTGGCACCCAGCATGTGTGGAATTAATCCCAGGCTGCTAAGAGCAGGTGTGGGTAGGAGGCTGCACAAGTGTGGCTCTGGGTGATTTAATGATGGCGTTAGGTGCTCTATTTAGGAACTGTGAATGCTTATGATTCTTGTCCGTGGTGAGGAGACTGTTTGGTTTCTACTGCAGTGGCAGGGAAGGGACTTGGGGGAGGGATGTTTTTCCCAGGAGGAATCTTCCTGGTGCTCCGAGGTGAAGGCTTGACCAGTGGTTGGGAGGGGGCTTGTGATGAGGGGGCTTGCAGTGACGTGTCACAGGACTGCTGCTGGGAAGCACTCCCAAGGGTCTCTCTTCACCTGGAAGTCTGGAAGGTCTCCTTTAGAGGAACGGCGAACTCAGGAGGCCCGTGTCACTCACTGCCTCACTCAACAAATGGGGCTGTGCTATGGAAAACCAAGACCCGGATGCAGGGGAGCCTCCAATTGTCACACTCTCTGCCCACTGCAGCTTCCTGGCTGCTTGTGCTGGTCACTTCCCAGAGCATGGGCAGCCTACCATCCTGGTGCGATGACGGAGTGTTCCAGGCGATTGGGCAAGGGGCTGAGGATGGAGGGGAGCTCTGCTCATCTTGTCTGTGCTGTCCCCTCATCGTCCCTCACACACCCATTTATTCTTCTCCCTGGTCTGGAGGTTGTTAGGAAGAGGTAGGGAATACTATCCGTGTCTTCTAGAGACAGGCTAACGACCCTGTGGCTCATATGAATGCTTCTCAATGAACTACCCTGAGAAGACCGGACAGTATTCTTCTTCCTTCTCCCTCTAATTCTCCTATCAGTGTCTGAATGTCCTCTTCCCACTTCTCTACCTGTTACAAGGAAGTCCACTCTCCCTTTAAGACCCAACGCAAGTATCTTCTTCTGAAAGGTTACTTTTCTCCCCTTTTTCCACTCTCAACCCAGGCAAGCCTACTCTCTCCCTCTACATTTCCACATGGTATCATTATGCACATGGTGTAACACCTGCCACATTCACATTCACTCAGCGTGGGTTGCCTTGGAGAGCTTGTTGAGGGACTCATTTAGATTAGTATTACAGTGCCTAGAACAGTGCCTGGTGCATAATACATACCCAGTGGATATCTGGTAAGTAATGAATAAATATATAAGTAAATAAATAGAGCCCAACATCATTTGTGTCCTCCTACAAATAGTGAAAGATATTTATAAACTCCATAAATATTTAAAATTACTTCCCTCTTTATGGTGTGGTACTTGATGAGAATACTATTCCAAATATGTCTTATTAAATCTTTTTTATGCCTATGGAATTATTTTTTTTTTTTAGTCAAAGGTGATAAATTTTGGGAGAAGAAGCCATGCCTTTTAAAAAAATGAAATTTTATAAAGTCATGCATTGCCAAAGTGTGCTCAGCAGAATATTAGTTCCCCAGGGTGGTAATGGTTGTTAAGGAAAAAAGGATTTGGGGGCCAAATGAAGTTTAGGAAAGGCTAGATTAATCAGGTCTCTCTATTGTGGGATGTCTCAAAGCTTCCATATGATATTGCTCAGGAATATTAGCAAGAGAGACACGTAATAATTGCATACTCCTGTAAGAGTAGCTTAGCACCTACAGTGTGAGGTGCATAGTAGGCTTTTGGTATTTTGTTATTCATCGTTGGTGATCGTCCACTGTCCCGATCTAGAGCCTGAGAGCTGGCCAGCGCTTCTGTCTGTAACAAGGGCCCACTTCTTCACCACCTTCTCCACATGCACCACCTCTGCTCTGCAAAGATGAGAGAAAAATTAAAGGGAATTAAAACATCACCTGCCACAGCAAGTATCACACATCTCCAGTGGGCTATGCAGCAAATGATTGTGGTTTTAGAAATATCCTATCAGCCCCAGGTGCTCTGCAGTAACCTCTCAGGGCTGTTCCAGACGTGCCAGTTCTCAGCATAGTAATTACCAAACCCCTCCTTGGTAGATTCACCGGTGTCTAGGAGTAATTTCTAAGGAACTCACATTTTCAAATTTACAAGAGGCAAACAACCTTGTGTTTACCTCGGGGGGTTATCAGGGTATTCAAACTGTGCTGGGTAAAGGATGCTATTGATCATAGAAATATGGGGAAGAACTTGAATTTTCACCTTGGTGTTTTTCTCAGTGGGTGAGAGCCTGGCTCACTAGATTATGGAGCAGAGACCTCTGGGGGATCATTCTCTTTTTCTCAGGGCCTCTTCCCTTCCTTGAGATTCGAAACAGCAGTAAACCTGTCCTAACTCTAGCTGGACTCCTTTGTTGCCTTTAACTGATGCTGGCTAATTGGTACCACTGTCTAGGAAGAAGATGAATAAGATTCGGATTGGTCCAGTCAGAATTCTGACCCGTGCCTTTGGTGTTTGTCCTCTAGAGATCTCAGGGAACACGGAGGACATCCCTCTGGTGCGCTGGAGACAGCAATGGCTGGAGAATGGCACTTTGCTTTTTCACATTCATCACCAAGATGGTGCCCCCAGTCTCCCTGGACAAGACCCAACGGAAGAACCCCAGCATGAGTCAGCAGAAGAGGAACTGAGGATCCTGCACATCTCAGTCATGGTAAGCTGCATGGCTTCAGCCTCTCGGGCCATAGCTGATGTTATTCTGACGTGAAGCGCCTTGGTGCCATAGACAAACCTCTACAAAACCCACTGCACAGTGATCGTTGATCACGTGAATAAGTAAACGTCCCATTTGTGGGAAATGTCTCCACCTCTGGTGAAGTAAAAGTTGCAGTTATTTCTGTACCGCCATTAAACCCAACTGTTCTCTTTGGGAACACGCCTAGACATGGTGTGACTTTTACAGACAAGAGACAGTATCAGATGGGGGCAGTGGCTTGTCTTAGAAAGGGGTTATTCAACTAGTATATCAGAATGTCTTATAATAGTTGCTCCATACATGTCTGCGGAATGACTGAATTGCCAAGCTGCTTGCTGCTACCAAGCCCCTCTTCTCTCTTTTCCAAGCAGGGAGAAAGTCAGCATTTGGCTTCCTCACCTCTTACAATGAAGGGCATGTTAATACATACTTGCCCTTCTCCATAGCCTAGCTCAGAATGTCACCATCAGCATCCCTTCTCCTCAGAAATTTGAGGCCTAAAGAAAATGAGAAGATTCTTTATAAAATTCTAGGAACCTGTGTTTTAGAATCTCACTCGAAAGTAAGTGCTACAATGGCAGGCAGGGGTTTTGTTTGGTGGTGTTTTGTTTACTGATGTATTCTTAGCACTTAGAACAATGCATTCACATAGTTAATGTTTAATAAATATTTGTGGAAGAAATGAATGAATTTCCCCAGTGGAGATAGAAAGTGCTTGTTTCACTTGTGGTAGATATTTTATGTATTAGTATTATATTGGTAAAACCAAATACATCATTTGCTTCTAGGGTAGCCTGAGAACAGGCTGAGGCTGGACTGATTCTTCATGGGCCATATGTATGGGAAGGCATGGGTTGCTTCACATTTATGAAATTCTACAGAAAACCAGTCTAGGTCTTGGTCTAAACTCTATTACTCTGGCACCAACACTACATGCTAGTTAGTTTTGTATATCAGATTGGGAGAAACTGAGCACATTTTAGATATATAAAAATTTCCATCACCCAAATATTTGGCATTGAAACTCTCCCCATAAAATCTCCACTAAGATGGTATGTGCTATGGTGAGCGCTGTGAATTGTGTAAGACTGTTGAATCACAGACCTGTACCTCTGAAACAAATAATACATTATATGTTAAAAAAA